ATGCTATTTTTAATCCACCTTTGATGTAAGAAGATACCCTCTAATTCTCCAGTAACAAATGATCAAAATACATTTCTTTCAGCCTCCTGTCCTGGGACTGATACAATACAAATTTCAGGGACTCTAGGTTATACATTCAGGATTAAATTTCTTTGGAACCCAACTGAACTGAGCAGACTGAACAGAGAATCATAGGATTTTAGAGTGTGAAAAATCATTAAAAGTAATTTTGTTCAAATGCCTTATTTTTTAAAGGGCTACAGAGACTTAGAGAAGTTATGCATCTGTTTAGTCCTGAACCATTAACTAACTGGAACCCATATGTCCTGATTTCTAGGCTAATGTTCTCTGATCACACCATTCTCCTTCTGTTCTAAGGTTGACTGGCCAGCAAGTAACTGGAGTAAGTCCAGTTGTATTTCTCTAATTATTTTATTTTTATGGAAATATATTCAGTGCTATCCATTTTGCTGCATCTCAGAATACAAACAAAACAAAAGCAAAGATGGGTAAAAAAAAAATCTGAGATTTAAAAAAAAAACACAGAAATAATCTTTCCTCCCAAACCCATATATCAGTTCTAGAACCATAATCAAATCAGCTCTGTCATTGTTTCTGGAAGGGATGTGTGTCAATCTACTCCCATACTGCCCCACTCATCATCTCTGTAACTTTTAGGATCAAAGTGCCCTATCCTAGCCACTGCTCCCCAATGTACATTGTTCCCCCAATCAGAATGCAAGTTCCTTGATGACAGGGACTGTTTTTTATTTTATATTTGTATTTCCAGTGCTTAGTGAAGTGCTTTGCATATACTAAGTACAAAAGGAATGTTTTCAAATCATTCAAAGTAAAGTTACTGTTTTTGCATTTTATGATCCATGAACATTTCATTATATTCCAATCCTGAACCCCAGTCAAGAGAGTGGCCCACACTAAGCTGTGCTCAGAACAGGTGTCATCTTTCATTTCTTGTTTTGCATCCCCAACTTTTAGCACAGTGCCTTGTACATGAGAGACATTTAATCAATGTTGAATTGAATTGAAAGTCAAGCGCGTGAAGGGGAGTACTAGATGGAAGGGTAGGTTGTTCAAGGTTGTGTGGGACTTTGGTGACAGGCTGAAGGGTTTGTATTATATTTAGTTGTTTTTTTTTTAAGGAAATTACTGAAGATTATTTGAGGGGGAGGGAGTGACATCAAATCAATGCAGTGTGAGGGATGTTTTGGAAAGGGAGAGACTAGAGGTATGGAGACTAATGGTGGCCTGAATCAAGGTGATCAACAGTGGAAACTGAAATAAGGGGATAATTGCAAGAGAAGTAAAAATAAGCTCAATGGAATTTGAAAACTGATTGGACTTGGGGAATAGGAGATAAGAGAAGAGTCAGACCTCCCTAGTTCCATCCTCCATTCATTAGGCATGGCTTAAGCAGCACTTCATTACAAAGAATATCTAGATAAAATGAAAAACTGTATGTTGTGTCACAGACAAGCTCCAGAAAATTGTGGCTCAATTCATTGCCTCCACTTGCTCTCTTCCCTCTCATGTCTCAGCCTTTGGCAGTCTAGTTTTTCCATCCAACCACTCAACTGGAGCTGCCTTTTAGGTGGTTATGAAGAATCTCTTAAGATCTAAATAGTTTCCTTTTCTCAATCTTTGCCTTTCTTGAACTATTTGGATCTTTTGGCCACTCCTTCCTTCCCGAATACTCCCTCCTTCCCCAGATTTTGTGAAAATGCTCTTCTTCTGGTTGTATTGTCAATTATGTCATGCCTCTCAACTGTCATCCCAACCCTACCCCCAAGGCTTTGTCCTGGGAGCTCTTCTCTGTCTGTCTCGGAACCCTCTCTTGAAGGTCTCGTCATCTCTCTGGTTTCATTACTACCTTTTTGCAGATGATTCTCAGATTTCTATGCCCAGATCTAATCTCTCTCCTGAACTCCTGTCCAGCATTACCAACTGGTTATTGGACTGGTTATTGGTTATATCTCCAACTGAATGTACTGTGGACATCTCAAACTCAATATGTCCAAAGTCAAACTCAATAGGTCATCACTTAAACCTCTAGACCTAGAATATAAGTTTCTTGAGCACAGGTCTTGTTTTTCATTTTGTTTTTGTATCACTTAATAAATTTTACTGCATCTGATTAATTGAATTGGGAGCTCATACACAAAGGTCAACTCTTGTGCTTATACCCACTAGCATCCTCAGGATTCTTTCCACCCTGATTGGGGAAACAAACTTTTCCTATCTCTTGCCCCAGCTTCCAAAATTTCTAGTTACACCTCTGACTGAACTAAACCAATTAAAAATAGATGAGTTATGTGCTGGAGGTGCTACAGTTTTGAGGGTATTGGGGAATATATCTGAAAGAGAGAAAGAATTCCAAATACTTGGGAAATTATAGGCCTTTTTATTATTAAAAATAGTAGATTGAGGAAATATCAAGAACTGTAGGCTCTTATGTCTATTTCTATATGACTGAAGTTTTTATGAATACTTGATAAATGCATGAGAATGGAACAAGAAGGAATGTTCAAATGATATTCTACAGCAGAGCACATATTTATTATCAAACAATTGAGTGAAAGGTTCAGAGAATATAAGATCTCATTATGCTTGTTGTTGATCGACTCTAAATGAACATCTGCTTTGGTAGAATACGATACTTACTAAAAGGTTCTCCTCTAATGAGGTACTTCTCTTACATATGCAGCAATAATGGTAATTTTGTCTTATGACTCTGATTACAAATATTTGGTTTACATTAACTATGGAGGCACAAATTTGCCAAAGATGTTTTCTATTGGTGTGGAGGATGTGCAGGACAAAGAAGTCCTCTAAATATTTGGTGTCTGTCAAATATTCATGTTTACTGACAATATATGAAAATTTCATCACGGTTCAGAAATGCAGAGCCTTCTGTGTGAGAAATGTAATGCCTCAAAGAATTTGACTTAATTAGAAACATAAGAAAATCCAAGTAGGTGAAGAATTATTATTGTCCAGACTATGATAGTTGGATAGATATTTCATTGAAATGGTCCATCAGTATAATAATATATCTTGGAAAGAAACAGTAGGTAGATGATGACCCAGACTCAGTTTTGTATAGGTGTAGAAAAGAGGACTGGATTGCCTTTAGGGAATTTCTATAGACTTTTTCATCATTCTAAGTTTTCCCCAGAAACCAAGACCCATCTTTTTTAGTAACAATATTTTTCTGATATTGCTATATGCCTATACTTTTTAGAGCCCCATGAAATCCAAGGAATTAAAGTCCAAAGTGTTGAAGTAGGGGGAAAAAAGCTTCTGCATTTTTTTTACGGTAGAATTTATTAGAACCAAAGGTTTATTATGTAAATCAACAATTGCAAGGACAGTCACCTCCCAAATCAACTTAATAATGCCATTCAGTGTGTGTGTGTGTGTGTG